ACTACTAAAAGACAATTTTTTTAGTGTTTTTTTATAATGGTAACTTCGTTTCACAAATAATTAATTATTTTCAAAATATTAAAACATTTTACGTGAAAATTTGTATTGAATAAAAATTTAATAAAATTTAAATTGAAAATTATAATTTGTTTTGTGACTTCACTTTTTGATCAAGTTCTATACTAAAAATTAAATGTATGAACTAGCTTAATCTAATTTTAAATAATTCTTTCATATGTAAATATAATTTAATATTAGACATATTTTAAGAATAAATATATAATTTCTTAACTGAAGTTTTAGAATATTAATAAATGTGCCAAATATATATTCATATTTTTTAATTTGGTTATAAAAAATTTTACAATATTTTAACGATTTTAAAAAATAAATAAGTGGGCAATGTGATAGTTGGGCATGAACCAAATGATTATCTAAAAATTGGATTGATATATAACATAAAAATCAACCAAATTTAGTTTCTGCACTACTTTTAGGCCAAGTTTGGGAAGACTAAAAAAGTGCACTTTTTGTCTTTTTGGACTAAAAAATTGAGGTTGAAAATATGGATGTTTGGGTTAACTTTTTGACTTTTTATTGAAAAACGTGTAATAAAAAATTGTAAAAATTGATCAAGCTCCATATTTTAGGTCGACCCAGTGTTATATAATTTTTTCATACATAAATATACTTAATTACTTGTGTAAGAATTTTTAATATAAATATATAATTTTTTACAAAAATAAATAAATAAATATGCCAAAAATATACATACATTTTATTATTTTGGGTACAAAAAATAATGATAATATATTTATTAATTTTAAAAATAAAAAAAAATAAGTAAGTTAAGTAATCATAAATTGGGTATAAATGAAGATAATTATCCAATAATTTAATTGTTGGCATAAAAATTGATGTTAATCTAACTTCTAAACTACTTTTAATGTTTAATGCAAATATTATCTCTCAAATTAGTCCATACTATTTTTTTTTTTAGGTACATCGGAATAGAAGTTCATACTATTCAAAATACAAGAAATTAGAATATAATTTAAACATAAAATTTAAATTGATTATTACCAACTATTTCTATTAATTGACCGATCAAAATTTTAAATCCGTGGTTTGAACAATGCCCATATTTTAGGTTGATCCGACCCGCTTAATTCGACCGGCCCGGACCGACCCAATGACATACGGTTGATTTCGAAAATGAGTTCGGACGGCCATGGTTGCAGACATAATTTTCTCACGGGTTGACGGTCGGTGTCGGATTAATTGTTCAAACACCAAGTGAAACCGACCCGACCCAAAAAAACACATAAAAGTAGAATTTTTTCCTCAGTTATGCCTCATCCTAAGACATAGTTGGAGTAAACAATTATATATTTCTATCTCTTTATCTTGGATGGAGTACATTTATTTATTTATTTATTTTCTATTCTCACAACCTTGGAAACAGAGATTATTTTTAAAGGGAATGATTTCTGTCCAATCTTTAATTAGATTGGATCGTATTGTTGGGTCTATGGAGGCTCACCACGGGTTCCGTTTTGATAATCTGAACCGTTCAATGTGTAAAACTCGTCGAGTACTTTATGCCTATAAAAAATTACTTTGATCGGATATCGATAGCTATGTGATCAAAACTGATTTTTGTCAACCGTTAATTTATTCACCGTCTATTTTTTTTTATACAAAACTGATTTGATCACATAACTATCGATATCCGATTAACGTGATTTTTTACAGACATATAGTACTCGACGAGTTCTACACATTGCACGATTCAGATTATCAAAACGGGACCCGTGATGGGTCTCCACGGGCCCAAAAACACGATTCAATCCGATTAAGGACTAGACAGAAGCCATGCCCATTTTTAAAAACTAATAAAATCTTTTCACTTTTTTTTTTTTTTTGGGTTACAACGGAAATGGTTTTCATATCTTTCACTCTCTCCCTCTCTCAATCCTTCTCAATCCTGACACTTTGCCTTGGAAATAAGGCTTCACTTGCAAACTAAAAGATCCATTTCAGCCTCCGTTTGGAAAGTGGGTTGACTTTTTGACTTTTTTGACTATTTTAACCTGGGCTTAAAAGCTTGGTTTGGGAAGAACTTTTTGACTTTTTGACTTTTTTGAGTTTTTTTTGTAAGAGAAGAATGTAATGATTATGGGTTGGATGTGATGTTTTGTTTGTTATGGCTAAAATAGCCTATTTTACTTTTTATAGCTAAAATAGCCAAAAAAACCTGCAAACCCACTTACCAAACACAGGTCTTTTCCTTTTATCTCTATCTTTAATCTTTAAAGTTTCTATCTAAAAAATTTAAACTTCACCGTTTTGAAATCTCTCTCTCTCTCAATCTTTAAAGTTCCTGACTCAAAAATCCAAATAATTTCACACTTTCAAACCTTCATTATTTTTATAGTTTCGAAGAGGCCATGGCTACGGCAAAGGGAAACTTTTCATTGCCGCTACTATGCTACCAGACTTCACTATGATCTGCGATGCTATCTCTTACATCTCTCATCTCTCAGGGCTGTGCAAAGATTGCATTTTTGAGTTCTAGATCTGAAAGTAACCATGGTGTTGAAGATTTGCAGAGTTTTTTTTTTTTTTTCCTTTTCAAAATTCTTTTGGGTTCATCTTTTTTTTATTTGTAAGTATGACTTCTTGTTTGAAAGAATCCATTGATGAACAGTAGCTTCATGGTATGTCCACGTGATTTGTTGTTTCCCCATCCGACCGAGACCGACCGGTAAACCGATTGAAAGGAACGGATGGTTTCGACCATCACAGTGGTCGAAATCGGATGCTAAGTTATCCAACCCGAAATGTTCGGATTGGGTGGCGGATAAATCGGAAAACTGATCCAACTTGACCCGTGAACACCCCTACCTTGAATAGTTTTTTCACACATAAATATACTTAATTATTCATGTAATAATTTTAAATATAAATATAAAATTTTATCAAAGTTTGAATTTTTTTAATAACTATGCGTAAACATGAACATATTTCATATTTTATTATAAAACAATACTAACATATATTTATTCACCAATTTAATAAAATAAATGAGTTAAGTGGTTCATACTTAGGCATGGACTAATACAATTTTTTAATGATTAGGTCATGGCCAAGTTGAGATAAATATTGAGTTAATTAGGTTATGTCATATCTAGTACAACTATAAATCCTCGAGCCAACTTTTATTCTTTTGTATTCATGAATTATGGCATAGGATGACATATTTTTAAATTTTTATAAAATAGACAATGGGTAGTTAATAAGTTGACAAATATAATTTATTATATGTTTGGGCTATCTTTGACATAAAATAAAATAAATTGCAAAACTTATAAGACAAAATGCATTTATATTTCATTATAAATATAATTTTTGTAATTTTATTGCACTTTTTTAAAAATACATTCTACTATAGTTTATTGATTTCTTATAAATATATTTTATGTTATTATTTAATTTCAAAATTATTTTTAATTATTTATTTAAACCCGTGTATGGTTTATAAAATAATTTTAAAAAATTACACCAGAAACATGAAGATTCATTAAGCACAGGTGAATGAGAGAGAAAAATAAGAAAATGACCCAATGTGAGATATCAAAACTAACGATTATGAAAAAAATCTAAAAGTTATACTTGATAGGAAAGATAAGAGGATAAGGATTACTGATAGTTCATTGTTTGTCATTTTTATTTTGTTATTCAATTTTTTGATTTAAACAAATTTTACTAGATTGATTTTCACAAAAATAAAAATGAAAAATTATTATTATTATTATATGGCAAACTAAAAAATTGTAATTAGTAAAAAAAAATAATAATAATAATTATTGAGTTTCACATAATTTATGATATCATCTGATATATGGCAAATTAAAATTATGAAACCTTTAGAAAATAATAATGTATTTATATTTTATCATAGGTTTAGTTTTTGTTCCTAAAAATAAAAATTAAAAAGTGCAATTTTATAATTTATCATATTTTTATTTAATTTTTTCTAATTACATTTGATTCATGTTATTATTATTTAGAATTTAAAACATAGCATTAAAGGTATGGGAGAAGATCATAAGCAAAATTATGACAAAAATAATTAAAATTTAATTAATTTTATTTTTTAATTTTAATTTTAAAATTAATTATTAATTATTTATTTGAAACCGTGAACAACACAGGTGTTATATATTACGAATGCGATTACCTTTGGATTTCTGGTGAAATCAAGAAGAATTGTAATTTATAAATGCATATATATAATATTGATCTTTACTAATAGTAGTTTAATAGGTAAGGCAAACAGAGATTGGATTTCTAATGCTCTCTCTAATTGTAGTTTAATGGGTAAAGCAAATAGAGATTGGATTTATAATGCTCTGCTTTCTATGCGAAACAATCAGACTTCTCCAAAAATTGGGCCATTTCCCCAAATAAGCCAAATTATCAATTCAATTCCCAAACTAGGCCTAATTTTGAAAGATTTCCCAAAATAGGCTAAAACGTGGTTCAGAACCACGCTTTCACGTCTGTGTGCTTGTCCCGCGTGAGAATTGGGAAGTCTTAAAAGCGTGGTTACAAAACGCGCTTTTAATTAAAAAAAATTTCTTCTGAAATCACTATTCTGAACCACGCTTTTAACTTACATTTTTTTTCTTTCTGAAAGCGCGGTTTTTAAAAAAACATACAAAACATTTTTATTGAATTTAATACATTTAAAAAATAATAATATATTTTAAATGCTTTCATTTATTTTTAACATAATTTTTTCTTAATCTTAATTCTAACATTAAAACAATGCCTGCTGTTTAACATTTGTCTTTTTAACTCAAAATAAAATAAAATTGTGAGTGGCATGGACATCATTTCTCTTACCTTTTTTAAAAAAAAAAAAAAAATTAAATTTTTTTAATTTTTTTTCCAATGCAAAATAATGAGTTGAACCCTATTATAAAACAACCCAAACACTCCTGTGTCACCACTTCCGCAAAGCCTACTTTTCCCAGTATCCAATCTGTGAAAGAAAAAGAGAGACAGAGAGCTTTGCAGAGAGACCATGGAGGGTAAGGAAGAGGATGTGAAGCTAGGAGCCAACAAGTTCTCAGAGAGGCAGCCACTGGGCACAGCAGCTCAGACAGACAAAGACTACAAGGAGCCACCACCAGCACCATTGTTTGAGCCAGGGGAGCTAGTGTCTTGGTCATTTTACAGGGCTGGGATTGCTGAGTTCATGGCCACTTTCCTCTTCTTGTACATCACCCTTTTGACTGTTATGGGTGTTGTTAGGGCACCCAACAAGTGTGCCTCTGTGGGTATTCAAGGAATTGCTTGGGCCTTTGGTGGTATGATCTTTGCCCTTGTCTACTGCACTGCTGGTATCTCAGGTTAGCACCAACTTTGCTTTCCAAAAAAGTTTTTTTTGTTTTTTTTTTTGGTGGGTGAATTTTTAAGATGGGTTTATGCGATCTTTTCGGTCTTTATTCAAACTTTTTGTTTGAAATCTTGATTTGACCTGAAATAGTGAACAAATTCAGATGTAAGTACAAATATGAGATAGTGGTTTTTTTTTAGTAAGCTCTTGATTTGGGTAAGAAATTTGACGGATTAAAGAATAAAAAATTAGTGTAGACAGATTAAAATATTTTTTAAAAAATTGACATAATTTTTTTAAAAAATTCATTAAAAACAAAAGTAGAAAACATAAGTCAGCTTAAGCTATCCCAAATTCTTTTTCCTTTGTGTATCTTCTTCTTCTCCTTTTAGATTTCTTAGATCTACTGTACTCACTTGAATCTGGATCACTAAAAAAAAACTATTTCAAAATTGTTAAGTGGAGATGGATGTCAATAAGTAAAAATATTGATGAAATAATTTCAAAGAATTCACTGAAAAGGAAAATAAACCTGCTTATAATCTGTGCCAAATGTGTACTTTCTTCTTCTGTTTAGAATGGGTTTATGCGATCTTTTCGGTCTTTATTCAAACTTTTTGTTTGAAATCTTGATTTGACCTGAAATAGTGAACAAATTCAGATGTAAGTACAAATCTGAGATAGTGGTTTTTTTTTAGTAAGCTCTTGATTTGGGTAAGAAATTTGACGGATTAAAGAATAAAAAATTAGTGTAGACAGATTAAAATATTTTTTAAAAAAATTGACATAATTTTTTTTAAAAATTCATTAAAAACAAAGGTAGAAAACATAAGTCAGCTTAAGCTATGCCAAATTCTTTTTCCTTTGTGTATCTTCTTCTTCTCCTTTTAGATTTCTTAGATCTACTGTACTCACTTGAATCTGGATCACTAAAAAAAAACTATTTCAAAATTGTTAAGTGGAGATGGATGTCAATAAGTAAAAATATTGATGAAATAATTTCAAAGAATTCACTGAAAAGGAAAATAAACCTGCTTATAATCTGTGCCAAATGTGTACTTTCTTCTTCTGTTTAGATTTGTTAGATCTTCTCTTTGCTACTCATTTGAACCTGGATCACTAATTTATTTTCCTTTTTTTTTTTGATAAATAATTTATTTTCCTTTTTTTAAGGTAAAATTAATGGGTTTTTCTTAGTTTTTGTTTTTCTGCACTCTAATGGATCACTATTTTGTAATTTGTGTTTTTATGGGTATTTATTAGTTAAAGTTTGTGGATTTGTGTGTGTATGTGTTGGTTGAGCCACACATATTTGATCATCATGTGTGCTTTTTTCCCTTTGGATTGGATGATTTGATGAGAAAAGAAAAGAAAAAGGAGGACTCTCCCTGATCAACTATGATGAGGGAAATAGAGAAATGAAAGGAAACCAAAATCCTTGTAGCTCTTTTTCTTTTCCTTTCCATCTTTGACAAACAAGGGTGAGGATGAATTACTATTATCTTTCTTAATCCCTTCTAAATTATCCCAAAAAAAGCCTATTTTCTTCTCTTTTCTCTCCTAAATAATCCAAAAACAATCCAAACAAGAAGGAAAGATAGATACCACTGTCATTTTCTTTTTCTTTACCTAAGCCTGTCTAATATTCTCTTCTGGTTCCAAGATTAGCTCCATACATCGTATATTTTGCTTGCTTAATTGTGTCTGTAACTGCAATTTTTTTTAGTCAAAAGTACTTCTCTGATCAAACTAAACTTGTTGGTGACAGGAGGACACATTAACCCAGCTGTGACCTTTGGATTGTTTCTAGCAAGAAAGCTCTCTCTCACCAGAGCTGTCTTCTACATGGTGATGCAATGCCTTGGTGCCATATGTGGTGCTGGTGTTGTCAAGGGCTTCCAGCCTTCCTATTATCAGATGAACAATGGTGGGGCCAACTTTGTGCAACATGGCTACACCAAGGGTGATGGTCTTGGTGCTGAGATTGTTGGCACCTTTGTCCTCGTCTACACCGTCTTCTCTGCCACCGATGCCAAGCGAAGCGCTCGAGACTCGCATGTCCCCGTACGTGTTCTCTCTAATAAATTTACTTGAACTAAGTTCTTGTCTATTATTTGGATTCAATTTTACAGGATCTGACTTATATGTTTGCTTGATTTGGTTGTGTCTTTTGTGTGGATAAAAGTATGTGTTAATTATTAATGATCCTTGCTCAGCAATTATTCCCCGGCCTATAGTATAAACGTTTGGGGCTGGGATCATCCTTGCTCTGTCCTCATTCTCTGCCTTTGTCTCACCCTTATAGTGTTCATCACAATTTGAATCCAATGCAATTTATTTATTTTTTAAATTACTAAGGGACTTTGTGGTCCTACAAAGGGTTTTGACAGAGAAAGGGAACAACAGGATCCAAAGCCAAACTTTTGTTCCTTTATGGGAAAAAAAAAATTTAGTTACATGATTGCATATACTATTCATTGAATTTTGCTCAGGGGTCAGGATCCTCTGCCCCGCTGTTCATATGACACCACATGTACATAAAAAAAATCAACCCAAGTGCACCCAAATTCGTCCCCTCTCAAAATGGGCATACAATGCAATAGCAACAAATAAGTTGGGTCATCATCAACACCAAGAACACATACCGATTGAAAATTTAATCATTTTCAGCTTTTAAAACTCCATCAAAATTTGTTTTCAGTTATTTGGAGCAAAATTTTTCAAAACCCAGACAAAAAATATTACACAAATAGAGATGACAACACAGAATTTTGGGTTTTTGCCCGATGAACACATGGCAGCATAAAAGAGCTGGGGGATAGAAAACTGGGACAGATGATCCCAGCCCGTGCTCAGACCCCTGTATTTTACTATATTTTGTTAATTTATTTGACAAAAGTCGACCCTGAAGGCATTGATTTGTATATGTGTAATGGTGAGGGGAGTTTTCAGTAGTGTGACCATAGGGTACTCTCAAGCTTTAGACATCCATTTCATAGTTTGTTTTGGGAGAATAACTTATATTGTGTGAAACTGCAGTGTGGTTTTTTTTTATTTTATTTTTGTGTGAGATTTTACTTGTTTTTAAAACCTTGATACAAACTTAATCAGGTGTTAATTGAGTAAAAAAAACAATGTTGTTTTAATTTTTCCATTTTTGCAAATATAATGCAGATTTTGGCACCTCTTCCCATTGGGTTCGCTGTGTTCTTGGTTCACTTAGCCACCATCCCCATCACCGGAACTGGCATTAACCCAGCCAGGAGTCTTGGAGCTGCCATCGTCTTCAACAGGGACCTTGCATGGGATGATCAAGTCAGTACACCCATGATTGAGATCACTATACATTATTAATGAGTTTTTAACCAAACCCATGTGTTTTGAAAACATATTTTCCAAAGCCATGTTGTTTGGTGAAGTTTTTTTTGAAAACACAAGTTCTTGGTTCATAAATTAATTTTAGCATAAACACAAGTATACTTTTCTAATAAAAAAACCCTACTGTTTTAGCAATTCTGTAAACACATCAACTTTTTTAGATTTAAAAAGGCCAAAAAATCATCAGAAGCTAATGTTATCTCTCTGTCTCTCTCTCTCTCTCTCTGCTTTCAGTGGATTTTCTGGGTGGGACCATTCATTGGAGCTGCTCTTGCTGCTTTGTACCACCAGATTGTCATTAGAGCCATGCCTTTCAAGTCCAGGGCCTAAAGTTTATATTTAAGCCACTTTTGAGTCACACCATTGTCTCATCTCACCCCTATGTGCGTTGTTTTTATTTTCTTTATTGTGTATTAGTCTCTTCTTCGTGTGGACTTGTTGTTTACTGTTGAGATGTTAGTTAGTAGACTATTATGTGTAAATTATCTGTATTTGAGGTTGTGGCTGGCTTATGAATGAAGAATTCTTGAATCTTTTTTCTTACATAGTTCTCTGTATTTAAGGTTGGGGGATCTGTTGGCTTCATACCTTGATCCTGAGGTTAACTTGAGCCATTATGTTGTTGATTGCTATACAAATTTGGTAACGTTAATGGTTTATGCTTATAATGTTTATAAAATTTTAAAAATTATAAAGAAAAATTTGTTTGAAAATAAGTTTTTATTCCTTTCTTTTTTTCTCTCATTCATCCAGCAAATCCTACTACCTCGGTGCAGACCTTCGACAACTATCTTTGACTAACCCATCTTCCAATACCACCTCTGATCGTTACCAAACAACCACCTATTGTCCGCAGTAACCACTTCTAATGACCAATCACTACTCTGGATACCACCTCTCATCTTTGGCATTTTAATAACCAGAGCCGGCCCCCTGAGATTTAGGGACCTAAGGTGACATTTCGAAAACAAGGCCTCTTACATTAAAAAAATATATATATATATCAGGAATAAAATGATAAGTTATAATTTTTTTATTTATTTGTAATTATAAAAAAATTTACTTGTAAATATAATCATTAAAATTATAAATAAAAATTTACTTTCATATATTAAGATAGGAAGTAATTATTATAAATATTTTAAATAAGGGTAAATTATAATTTAACCTCTTGTGGTTTGTCTAAAAAAGACGGAGTCCCCTTATAGTTTCATTTGTAACACTTAAACTTCTTATACTTCATACCAGAGTGCAAAATTCAATGGACGTAACAGAAGTTGTAAAAAGTCAAGAATGCCCCTAGATATTTTACATCTCTTAGTCGTTTCGTTTCATTTGACTAACACCAGTATTCGCATCTCTATCTACTCTCTCTTTCTCTCTCTCTATCTTCTCTCTCGTTGTGGTTGATTGGATTGAACTAGGGTTTCATCATCAATTTCACCATCATATCGCGAACGCCATTATTAGTTTAGGTATATGTTGTTTACCCTAATTTATTTTGATCCCTAGATGTTGATTTTCCGTAATTTTGATTCATAACTGAGTGTGTGTTGACTTCGATTCACAAAATTTGTAATGTTTTAGGCATGATATGCTTGTATTGCTTTAATTTTTGGGGATTATGGTTAAAGTGGAGGGGGGTGGGGTATAGAGCTTCATAAGTAATGGGGAATATTTTTCATGATGTTAACTTTGAGTATTTTTTATTCACAGATTTATTTTTGTATACTTTAGTATTCATGCCTTTTATTATTTTATTTTTTTTGGGATGTTGGTTAACATGGGGTGGGGTATAGAGGTTCATAAACAACAGGTATTTTTTTATGATGTTAACTTTGGATTTTTTTATGATTGTTGTTATGTGGTTCCAATGAGTTTGAGTTTTGTAATGTAATATTGTGAAGTTTTGTTGTTTTCTGTAGTGAGGTAAAAAAAAAAAATGATTTTTGAGATCAACTATAATGGGTACTTCAGTAAGCCTCATAATATTGCTTATAAACAAGGGAAATTGGAATATATATATGATGTTGATCCTGACAAACTATCTTTTATTGAGATTCATACCATCTTGAGGGAAATGAAAATAGATGTTTATAGTACTTCTGTTTTGTGGTATATGAAATCTGGAAAAAGTTTGGATGATGGGTTGACAATAATTGAAGAAGATGTTGATGCATATACCATGATATGTGAGTATGAAGGTTTAGACGTGATTCAATTATATGTGGAGAAGGGTCAGGACCCATTACAAGTGGTAAGTCCAAAAGGGAAACATTTGGTACCCCTAAGAGTACCAGTTAGTGCTAAGTAGGCACTGACTTGGAATGACATGGAAAATATAAGTGAAGAAGAGATGGATTGTAGAGATGGAATGCAAGATGTAGCTGATGAGGAAATGCATAATGGAGATGGGGATGAAGGAGCAGCAGATGAAGATGCTAGAGATGAGGAAATGGATAACAGAGCTTGGGATGAAGAAGATAGTGATGATCCTGATTACATGGATGATGGGAATGCTGATAGTGGTTCAGAAGATGAAGACTATGAAAGTGATGAACCTGGCTGGTTGAATGAGGGTTTAGAGGGGCCAAAAGATGATGATATTTTCTTACCAAGGGAGATTGTAAAGAAAAGAAAGAGGCAACCTCTTTCATGTGATCAAGAGGTAGATGAATGGTGGTATTATGATCCTGAGGATGAAGATTTACATAGTGTACATAACTCATCAGATGAGGAATGTTAAGATAAATATCCTGAGTTCATTGAAGAAGTAGACAAGAAGAAACCACAACTCAAACTTAGAATGAAGTTTGCCACCCCTCAAATTTTTAGAAAGGCAATGAAAGAGTGGAATATTCAACATGGTTATGACATCAAGTACATAAGGAATGACAACTCTAGGATTACTGTAGTGTGCAAGCATGGATGTCGATGGAGATTGCATGCTTTTCCCATGTAAGGTGAGAGAACTTTTCAAATAAAATCATTCCAGCCAAAGCATGCATGTGGAAGGTCATATAATAATCACTTGGTGAACTCAACTTACTTGGCACACAAGTATGTGGACAAGTTAAGGGATGACCCTAACATCAAAGTTGGGCCTATGCAGAAGACAGTTTGGAGGGAGTTAATGGTTGATGTTAGTAGGCTTCAATTGTATAGGGCTAAAAAAAAAAGCAAGAGAAGTTATTGAAAGAGATCAAAGGGTCCAATATGCAAAGGTGTATGATTACTGTGAAACAGTGAGGCTACATAATCCAAACAGTGTAATACAAGTAGTGGTGGATAGGCCCAATGAAGACATGCTTAAGCCCAACTTAGAATTGCCCCCAGTTTTCCAAAGGTTATATGTTGGGTTTGCAGCCCTTAGAACAGGATTTGTTGGAGGATGCAGGCCCATCATAGGATTGAAAAAAAAAGCAAGAGAAGTTATTGAAAGAGATCAAAGGGTCCAATATGCAAAGGTGTATGATTACTGTGAAACAGTGAGGCTACATAATCCAAACAGTGTAATGCAAGTAGTGGTGGATAGGCCCAATGAAAACATGCTTAAGCCCAACTTAGAATTGCCCCCAGTTTTCCAAAGGTTATATGTTGGGTTTGTAGCCCTTAGAACAGGATTTGTTGGAGGATGCAGGCCCATCATAGGATTGGATGGGTGTCATTTGAAAGGAATCTATGGTGGACAATTATTATGTGCACTTGGAAGGGATGAGAACGACAACTATTTTCCAATTTCATGGGTAGCTATTGAGGCAGAAAGTAAAGATTCTTGTGTGTGGTTTTTAAGGCAACTCATGGATGATATTGGTAGTGCTGATGACATGGGATGGGTCTTCATTTCTGACAAACAGAAGAGGTTAGTACCTGCATTTGAGGAGGTAATGCCAAATGTGGAACATAAATTCTATATGAGGCATATTTACTCCAATTTTAGAGCAAAGTTCAAAGGGCTTGAATTGAGGGACCTATTGTGGAAGGCAGCTGCAGTTGGGACTGTCAGGGAATTTGAATTTCACATGAACAAGTTGAAGGAGATGGATCCAGAAAAGAAAGCATACAAGTGGCTAAGGAAGATAGATCCTACTTTATGGACTAGGTCCTATTTTAGCCCAAGAAGTAGGTGTGATACATTGGTCAACATGTGTGAGTCATTCAATAACAACATTTTGGAAGCTAGGGACAAATCCATAATCAGCATGCTTGAATGGATTAGAAGGAGGGTAATGCACAGGATCCAAATCAAGAAGGAAGGGATGGAAAAATACACTGGTGAAATTTGTCCTAACATTGTCAAAGATTTAGAAGCACTGAAAGTGCACGCTAGGAATTGTTTTGCAACCTCTTGTGGTGACAGAAAATTTGAAGTAGATTGTGGTGATACCACACACATTGTTGATTTGGAGGAAAGGAAATGTAGTTATAGGATGTGGGATTTGACTGGAATACCTTGTAAACATGCAATAAATTCCATATTTGTTCAAAGAGAGAAGTCAGAGGACTATGTGCACCCTTATTACAGTAAGCGAAATTATCTTGTAGCCTATAACTCAATGATGCACCCTGTTCCAGGCCAGCATGATTGGGTTGAAATAGGATTGCCAGCAGTGGCTCCTCCATTGTATGAAAAACAGCCTGGAAAACCACCAAAAATGAGAAAGAAGGGTATAGATGAGCCAATAAACCCTGTCAGAGTTTCAAGGCAGCATAGGTTCATTGTTTGTGCTAGATGCCTTCAAAAAGGTCACAACCAGAGGTCTTGTAAGGGTCCTGTCCATCCCAAGTCCAAGCTTTTTAAGCCAACAAGAAGTAACCAGCAACAACCATTTTCAGCAGCAACAACAACTGCTTCATCAACACTAGCAACAGCAACAACAACATCATATCAAGTAACCTGAACCTCCAATTTCATTTCATTTTGCAATACATTCCACAACAATGACTTAATATAGATATAATCATTGCAGCCCAGAAGGAAGCTCCATAGTAGGAGGGCCAACACATCCTCATCTCAAGTAAGATCTGTCCACTTTGCATACTTGTTACATCATTGCAGCCCATTAGAATTGGCCACACATTTGAAGAATTTCCAAGTATGACAGGCAAGACATCAACATCTCAGGTAAGCTCTCTCTCCTATGGGTGTCATTTGGTTTTTGACATAGTTGACAACATATAATTGCTTACTTGGACCATTATCATTGCAACCCAGTAGAGTTCAATACAGTTCTCCAAAATTTGATTACTCATCATCTCAGGTATAGTCAAATTTCATTTGCAAGTTCATTTGCTTTTATAGTATTTGACAAAATGTAATTGGATACTTGTGTGTGTTATTTTGTAACCCACTAGTTATGGTAGAGGAATGGGTGAACCAGTTAGAGGTTGTAGGGTTATGTCCAGATCTGCATTGGGAGGTAGCTTCATTACAAGAGGTAGAGAAGGAGGTGGGTCTGCAAAAGTTACAACTCAGAGGCAAACTGACAAAAGCAAAGGGAAAACATGATGGCAGAGAAAGCTACAACTCAACTTTTGTTGTGTTTTGAGTAGTTTTCTACTTGTTAAACCATTAAGTGGCTTGTACCAATTTGTTTTTGAATTTGAAACTGGCTAGTATCTTAGTTTACTATGTTTTGAGAAGCCCAGTGGGTTTAATTATGCCTTGTATTAAAGTAATGTGAACTGATACAAATGACGCATGTTTTACAAGATCCAAATCAAGCATGTTTTTGTGTACCTTTATTAATACATGTATCTTAGTTTACTATGTTTTTGGGTTGAAACATGTTTTTGAATTATGTTTCAAATCAAGGAAATGAAGCATGTTTTTGGGTTGAAGTAAATGAAGCATGTTTCACAAGATCCAAATCAAGTAGGTTAACTTTCTTCACCAAAACATTCTTTCATTACAAATGAAGCATGTTTTACAGGAGAAGAATGGGAACCAATATGTTTCTATTCTTTAATGTTCTTGGAAGATGTAATGAACAAAACATTCTTTCATTACAATTTCTTTGGTTCATCAGATGCATACATTTCTTGACCTAAACATTCTTTCATTTTATACCTTCATTTTTCATTACAATTGCTTCACAGACCATTGTACACCTTCATTTTCTACCTTGACTATATTTTTCATCTCTCAAATTCTATGGCCCAATAACAACCCATTTTTCTTTACTCCAGCAAACTTCACCTAGAACATTGTCATGATAAAGAAAAAAATCCATGTCCCAAACAGAGCTTTGCAAAACATTTTCTCCCTTCTACGACTTCTTGCTAGTTCCTTCTCCAATTTGTTCATCTTTGCAACCATCTTTGGCAACACCTCCCTCCCACGTTGGCACATGGGTGGATCAACCTATTCAAAGTAGCCACAAGTTATATCAACCTATAATAAAAAAATATGAGTCCACAAATTCCTTTTCAAAAAAAATTCAATCTTTTTTTTCCAAAAAAATAAAAAAATAATTTTTGCTTACCCCATATCTTGCACAACCATAAAACCTTCTACCCATATTTCCAGATGTCATTGAAGTCTTCACATGGGATCTCTCTCCACAATAACATAGTCTTGGAGCATTTGTCCTTGACTGTCCACTTTCGAAAGCAAATGAAGAAGCCATCTAACAATAATCTTCAACTTTGGGAAAATCTGGGCAACTTTCGGACAATCTGAGAACATTTCAATTTAGGGTTCTATCTTATCTGGGTCTTGATTTGTGTATATATATGGCAATAAGGGTGTTTTGGTCATTTGTCATATGTTTTTGAGCGGGAAAACGTGCTCTACTCACCAGTTTTGGTCGTGCAACACATGCACTGTTTAAACAAACAGTTCCGTTAGATTTTGCACTATGATATGAAGTATAGGGGGTTTAAGTGTTACAAATGAAACTATAGGGGGCTCCGTGTTTTTGAGGCAAACCACAGGGGGTTAAATTATAATTTACCTTTTTAAAAAATAAAAATCTAATCTTGTTGCTTTTTTTTGAGCCTCATGTTCAATTGGGCCTATAGGTAAGGCAAACGAATTTAGTAGAAACTGAACAGGTTGAGAGAAAAACTTGATAGAAGAATCTAAACAAAATTCGATCAAAAAAAATCTAGAACTAAAAATGAAAAAAAACTGCCCTAAGTTGATTTTTTTTCGGAAAAGTTCAAAACATGAAAAGTGTTTAGAATAATGTTTTACTTCAGTTTACACGAAACCAATAAAAATGAGCTCGTTTCATGAGTTAAAACAATTTCTAAAATCTGCATTGCTAAAATAAATAAAAACTACTATAATCAAGATTATCTGATTACAAGTTCCAATTGATCTTTTTAGTACAAAATTAAAAAAAAAAAAATTTCTTTAAATTAATCACTCTTGTATTTTAATTAAGAGGTCAAGTGATTATTAATCTTTCTCAGAGATAAAGATTTAATAATTTCTTTCATTGACAAAAGGAAAAAAAAAAAACAGCCAGTCTTTTTTTCTTGCGATTTCTCTAACGTTGTGTTTGGTTGGGAGTTTTAAAGAGAGTTTTAGAAAGGAAAAAATAAAAGTTAGGTGAAATATAAATAAAATATACTTACATTTCACCTAATTTCACACACCTTTTTCCTTTTCCTTTCCAAATCCCTCATCAAATCCTTCAATCAAACACAGCATAAATGTTATGTTTTGATCCTTAGTTATATCAACAAAAGATAAATAAATGAATAAATTTCACTTTATTTACTTTCTATCATTTTCCTTTGTTGCCTTTGTATGACAAATAGAGAATGCATAAGATTTTTATGCATCTTGGCCGTGAGAATACAGTTCATTCAGCGAAAGCATCAAACTCAATTCCTATGAATCTTGATTTAGAAGGCCTCCTAACAAATAATTTTTTTTTCCCCATAAATTCATTTACTTTTAAAAAATATTTTCTAAATTCATGCATTTTTGACGTATTTTTCAAACTCATATTGTTTTATGAAGAAGTGCTTTTTAAAATACGACTTCAAATTAATTTATTTTAAACTCTTTATAATGACTTAGATTTAAAACACAACTTCAATCGCTTTCTATGATTAAGAGGTAATTTGAGTGTGAGTTGCTATAATGAATTGAATCGAGCTCTATTTGACAAAATTAGAAGAAAAAAGAAAAAAGAAAGAAAGAAGAAGATAAATTACACTGTCTTTCTTTTGAGTAAGTTTTAAGTAATCAGAACTAATAGAGATGGTTTGTAAAAATAAGAATAAAGAAATGTAAAAATATTATTTTCATGTAAAATAAATGACAATATCATATTTTCATATATATAATTAACGAAATCACTTTTAAAAAAAGGGTAAGCATTATGTAATAGTTATATCAAATTTGTAAGACTGAATCATTTTTTATTTATTTTTTTAATTTCAAAAGAGATTAATGTAATTTATCAAAAAGGAAATTAATAGAAGAAGAAAAGGCGGGAAAATACTTGGAAAAATTACTTATAAATCCCATTTGGAGAAATGTTAGTTCATTTAGTCCTACATGTTTTTTTTTAAAAAAAAACCAAATAATCCTTTTTATTTGTAGTATGCATTATTGATTTGATTTAGTAATATTTGAGTTTTTTTGTTTGCCCCTTATTGTGATTATGCTTTTAATTTTTTTTGGGATTGAGTGTATGTGAATAAGGTATGGTTTAACACTTCTATTTTTTTTAGGGATTTCGTGGAATGATTGTGGAAATTATTGATGTTACCTACTCGGTGTTACATTATTGATGTGGGGAGGTGTCTGGGTTGTAATGTTCACATTTACCTACAGAACAGTAGCCTAGAGCGACATTGTTGTACCATTAAGCCTCCCACTAACAATCTATAACATTAGCTCTAAACACCAACCACATATCATAATATCGACACAGTCCGACAATTAACAGCCACTACCCCCTACTACCACCAAATCCCACCAACACTTTCAAGCATACATCCTCTCACTAGCTCCCAACATTACAAAATACACGCCCAATCATACAAACATTAGCTACAACATCATGTGTCTGTTATATTACATATATGCACAACATCACATTTGCAATCACTGGTAACCCCCAAATCCGTGAAAATATTACAACATTAGCCAACAAAATCATGTGTTTGTCACATTACAAACATGCGCAACATCACATTTGCAATCAATGGTAAACCCCAAACCTGCAACATGAACAAGATCACTTAGGACCTCACATGACGCACCAATTAAACAAAAACTCATTTCGAGCATCGACCTTGATGCCGTATTGTTCCACAAATAACCAAACTAACATTGAAGACACCCATATTTGTTATCAGCACACTAACACACGATCAACGATGCCGTCGACGGATTAATTTTAAATCGCCGATGTTATGTCCTCAATGTTAATCACACTCCAAGATGTCTCAATGCCCACGCCGTTTCGCTTGTAAATTTGATAGAAGGGGTTTCCAAGATTTTCAAGGATTTTTTGGGGGGTTTGTAATGTTATTTAGGGAATAACGAATTTTGGGTGTAACGTTCCTGAATCCAGCGTTCAACTCACACAAACTGAAAATCAACACTGCAACATCGTCAAGGAAACGTTAATGTTTTCATTTTTGAGCTTTCGTTTTGTTCACAATTAAGGAAAAAGTAAAAAAAATGCTATAGTATACTTTTAGTTTTTTTGGTAATTACAGCATCACCTAAACACGCAATATATTCCTCTAAATAGTCAACCCATGCGTTATATTCATGAACTCAAGTGTAATTAACATTAACATGTGACCAATCAGTTTATAAAATAAATTACAGGACTAAATAATTTAAAGGGTATGGTTTCTGTCTAGTCCGGGATCGGACTGGACCGTGCTGTTGGGCCCGTAGGGGCTCACTACGGGTCCCGTTTTGATAATCTGAATCGTTCAATGTGTAGAAATCGTCGAGTACTATATGTCTGTAAAAAATCACGTTGATCGGATATCGATAGCTATGTGATCAAAACAGTTTTTTGTCAACCGTTAATTTGTTCATCGTCCAATTTTTTTTAATACGAAACTGATTTGATCATATAGCTATCGATAGCCGATCAACGTGATTTTTTACAGGCATGTAGTACTTGACAAATTCTACACATTGAACAGTTCAGATTATCAAAATGGGACCCGTGTTGGGCCTCTACGGGCCCAATAGCACACAGAAGCCATATCCTAATTTCAATTATCTAAATTTGAAATTTATTGATGTTTTTTCCAAATAAATTGATATCATTCTTTAATTCTAATAAATTCATTATACGAACATGTCATTGATGACGTTAGGGGTATTACAACCATGTCATCAATGATGTTTAAGTGCAAATGTACGGCAAAAATATAAAGAGTTTTCTTTTAAAAATAATGTGTCAAATTACACAATAAAGCCTAGTTTGGGAAGACTAAATAAGTGTACTTTTTGACTTTTTATGAAATATGGATTGGGTTTGGGTTGGGTTTGAAGTGATGTATTAGAGAGGTGATGTGACTTAAATAAGATGATGTGACTTAAATAGGATAGTGACTTTTTGACTTTTTTCAATCTTCCCAAACTAGGCCTAAATACATACCCAAGGAATTAATATCATGGGCCCCATAATAGAGTAGAAAACAACAGGTTTCCAATCAGATGGAGGCAACTTGGTATTGAGGTAAAAGTAACTGGTGGTTTGGAATGATTTAAATAAATGTATTTTTTAATTTTTTATGAAATATAAGTTGAGTATGGGTTGTGTTTGAAGTGATGTGATAGAGAGGTGATGTAACTTAAATAAGATGATGTGATTTAAATATGATAGTAACTTTTAAACTTTAAAATTTTTTTAAGTTATGACAGACAAAACCTAAATAAATAAAATAAATTTCAACTTGTTCCGAGGAGTCCATTTAAGGAAAATGTTTCGTAACTCGAAACATTTGCCCCGAATGGCTCGATTTTGAAGCAGAGGGGAAGAGAGAAGCAGAAGGAGAGGGAGAGAAAGAGAGAAGCAGAGAGAGAGGGAGAGAAAGAGAGAAGTAGAGGGGAAGAGAGAGAGAGAGAAGACGATCGTCGCCCTCGCCCAGTCGCCGATTGTCGCCCCGCCCAACCGCCGATTTGCCGATGGTG